AGGGAGGGAGGAAGGAAGGAAGGAAGGAAGGAAGGAAGGAAGCTGCTTTTGATGCAGCCCAGGACATGGTTGGTTTCTGGGCTCAAGTGCACACTGAAGCCGGTTCGTGTTCAGTTTCTCATTGACTGACGCCCCCAAGTCCTTCTCTGCAGGGCTGCTCTGAATCTCTTCTCTGCCCAACCTGTAGCTGTGCCTGGGATTCCCCCGACTCAGGTGTAGGACCTTGCACTTTACATTGGTGAAATACATGAGATTGGCATTGGCCCATCTCTCCAGCATGTCAGAGTCCCTCTGGATCCCATCCCTTCCCTCAGGAGTATAATCAGATTTATAATTAATTAATTTTTTAGTTGAAACTATTACCAGGTGTTTGGCTGTAACTGCTGTTGGTGTTAGTTCAGCATATTAGCAGTCATGATATTTGAGGTTGTTTTAATTCTTTGGCTGTCAGATTGCATTGGTGCAGAGTACAGAATGTTGTCACATTAAGTATTAAATCATCTTTTGCATTGTTTTGTCTGTTTTCATGTTCTTCAGGCTTTGTTCCATGGGAAATTCATTGACACTGGTTTCTCTCTGCCGTTCTATAAACGTATCCTAAACAAGCCAGTAGGACTCAAGGATTTAGAATCTGTTGACCCAGAGTTTTACAACTCTCTCATCTGGGTAAAGTGAGTTTGACTTGATTTTGTTCTTGAAATAGCAATATAATGGGTTTTATTTTCTCTTATGCCAGGAAGTAGGTTTTAAATTATTGCCATTGGGAAGTATATCAATTGCAGAGCAGAACTGGAATTTTCCTGTAATTTTAGATACACAAATAATAACTTGATAATGCAAAACCCTTTCTGTAGTTTTTTATTTACTATCACATAATTCTTCTGTGTATGCATTGTCAGTCTTCAGTGTATGCATGTACATTCATACTATTTGGAGGTCTCCTCTTCCACTCCTTTGCAGATTCCTCTCCAGAGAGCAGCAAGCATAAAGGATCTGGAGTTTTTAGAACATAATTATTTTGGAACTATCTGTTAAAAATATTTTCATAAATAACTTTTAAAACCCCTTAGGTCTAAAGCATTGTCCTTCTGTACTTACTTGATAATAGCAGCACTCAAGGGTGCTGTAGTCCATGGCTGATGTACACCATCTGTTTCAATAACAAAGGTGATTTTCCTTTCCTAGCAGTTTAAAAAAAGAAAAAAGACAAATTCAGTTAAAAATGATTTGCTTCTGTTATAGTAAAAACAATTTAGCAGAAAAAAATAGTCTTTTTTTTTTTTTTTTATTTTATTTCTTATGTGAGAAAACATTTTATTTAAGAATCATACAAAGCCAGAATAGTTTTAAAGATGCTTTGAGAAATTCCTAAAAGCTTTGGGGATAGATTGGTTTTGGAAATGCAGAAATAAACATAAAAAAAAAAGATAGGATTATTACCTCCCATAAGGGTGAATCATGGAAGCATTCTCTTGAATGAAGGGGAGCTGGGGGAAAGCAGCTTTACAAGATGTTTACAAATTGAGATAGGGATTTTGAGTTGGTTTTCCAGCAGTAGCATGTCCTGTACTCAATGTATGTTCTGCTAAAAGGTTTAGTGAGTTAAAATTCCATTAGGAAAACTTTATATAGTTGCTATTTGAATAAAGATGCTACAAAAACTGATGCATGCCCCTCTGAAAAAAGCAGTTAAGGATATGAAAACTCTGGAGAAAATCTTTCAGACCTTTGATGGGTGCATATTGACCTCAAGGGAGACCCAGACTTCACGTTTAGCGCTGCTGAGCCTGCTTAGCTGTACTGCTGGTGAAGGTGGTCTCCAAGGAAATGACTACAGATTTGTAGGGAAGCAAGTTACATCTGTCAGGGCAGACTTAATTTTGTTCCTCGCCAAAAAAGCCAATTTTGCCACTTGCCAGGAAGCTTTCAGTACCTGTGAACGTCTGGTGCTTCTCCCATCAGGTGGCTCCTTGTCTTGTTCCCACAACTTTGAAAATGTCACAGGTTCACTGAATCTGGAAGGGGACCTCTAGAGGTCACATAGTCAAACGTGCCTGCTCAGACCGAGCTAGAGCAGGTATCCTTCATTTTAAAAGGAAGGAGCGATTTTATTTCATCATCCATCCATCTGAAGCCTGCCTTCCTCATCTGAGATGTCCTGCAACAGCATGTGTTTTGGAAAGATCAAGTTCAGAATCACTCTTTCATCATGGGGCTAGATGAACCACAGCAGCGTTCTCAAGATTGACGTTTCTGTGTTATGATTGAGGACAAATACCTTGATTTTGGCACTGCATTTTGAGGGAAAATGGTCATCAAAGCCTCTGCACATGCAAACAATTCTTCACTTTACAGAAGCATCCATTAACATACAGTGTTGTACCTGTTATTCTCCTGGCTGTTAACACCTATAAAGAGAACAGAATTTATTTGAGCAATGTCTGCTGGCTACAGATTCCTTGTATGTGGAAATTTCAAAGAATTCCTCTTTAGCAGGAGTGTTCGTACTTAGTTAACTTGGGAACTTGGGGCATTTTAGTATATGCTTACAAGATTGTCTCATATATAATATCTGCTGGAGGTGAAGGTAATTCAGTAAGCATTTGAAGTCTTAGTTGCTTCTTATCTGCTATTATCTGACAAAGTGACAGCTACGGTTTAACACTGTCCTTACATTACCTGTTAGAAGAAGCAGTCATGCAATGAAACATGCAAAAATGTCATTACTTGAAAAGTTTCTGTATTCCATAAACATTCCACAGGTGACAGGAGGTGGCTTGTCGGCCTTCTGATGGGTAAATTTAAGGGTACAACTGATGAAAAATTTCTGATCAGGAGAGCAATCCATTTATGCATGTTGGTACAGTGAGTCAGTACTTCTTGCAAAACCATAATTACTGTGTAAGGAATGTTTCCTTATCCTGATTATTTAGCTCCAAACCTTTTTTCTTAAGGTTCTTTGTACCCTTCTCCTCTACTGAGTACAAGGTCTTGACACAGTTATTAAAAATTGTATTTTTTTTTTCCTAACAGAGAGAATGATATTGAAGAATGTGGCTTGGAAATGTTTTTCTCAGTTGATAAAGAAATTCTAGGTGAAATCAAAAGCCATGATTTGAAGCCAAATGGTAGCAACATTCTGGTCACAGAAGAAAACAAAGAAGAATACATTAGGTAAGAATAAATGAAGATTTTTAAAATACTCTCATCTTAGTAGTTTCTTTCTTTATTTCTAGCAAGAAATTCTATCTCTGACTAATTGTGTATGTGGGCAACAAGTGGCAATTGTTTGGATGTCATATTTGGAAGAATATTGATAGGCACAAAGTTTCTAAAATGCACTTCTCCCAAAGATTGCAGAAGGTTCACTTTTTTTCCTAGGGATATGTAAGATTTAGCAGAACATCGTGACAACAAATGTGAATGTCAGGTATTTCATGAAACTGTTGCTTGTGTTTAATACTAAAATTGTGTTGCTTCATAGCCTGCTCATACTGTACCCAGCCTCTTACGTTGGGGTGTTTTTAAACTTAAGAATATTTTTGTGATGATTCTTATTTTTTAGAGATACTTGGGATCGCTGTTAGTTGTCTTGTAGCATAATTAGGTCTCGGCATTTGTAGCAGGGTCACAAATTCTATTGTCATAAATGAAGGATTACGTTTGCAGTACCAGGATGTTTTAAAGCAGTAAGTTGAGAGGAGCCCGAGCATGATGAAAGAACAGAAATGTAAACAGTGACCTGCTTTGTGCTGAAATACTCCCTTCTTCCTCGGTGTGCAGCAGTACATAAGCTCTGCTTTAAGGTGTCAACTTCAACATAGAAACATGGAGGACGTGTTTGCAAAACAACAAAAAGTCACACATTGCAGGCACAAACCAAACTGAATCACAGTGAAGTTTTTCTTCCCTTTCTTACATTGTATTCCATGAAGGCTCCTTTCACAGGAAGGGGTGAGGGAGGAGGGAGTGGATTTTGTTTCCATCGCATGAGTAAGCTGAAGACATTTCAGTGATTCACAGAAAAGGTAGTATTTGCGCAACAAGCACCCTGGCATTTTGCAGTTTTTCAGAGTACTAATATTGAGGTTGAAAATAGGGAGGATCTGCAGAAAACCATTCTCTTTTAGTTTTTAGGAGCCCAGAGAGAGCACAGATTCCAGTTTCACTCCTGTTCTCCTGTCTTACTCTGAGTCCTGCTTTAAGTCCCCAGAGTTTCTAGGATTGAAATCAGAAAATAGCCATCTGTCCTTTAGACTCCATTTCTCCTGACAGGTTAGGCTTGAATTCAGCATAATATCTGCTTCTCCCTGGGTTCAGGTTCTTCGGGTCTCCTGCCTGCTTTCCACCCTTTTATTAATGGAGAGTGGAGTTTCTGCCACAGAGCAAAGTTTCATGATTAACAGAAACAAATATGGAACTTTCCAAATGGACATAGTCATTTCTTGGTAAGCTAGCAGTCCTACTTATCTTCGCCAGTACAACTTGACCTAGTTTTTACCTTTTCATGGATAATGACTTGAGATTTCTGGGGAGAATAGTAGACAAATACAGCTCTGCATCTTTTTCTTTCTTCAAATGTCTAGGGACTGCTGTGCTCTCATTAATATAATCACTGAACAGATGCTGCCTCCTCTTTGACTCTAAAATACTTTTGTAGCAGAATGGTTGGAAACATAGGGGTTTAACTTAAAGAAAAAACAAAATCGCTTGCAGAGAGTAAAGGTAACTAATAAAATTACACAATGTTCTATCCCCAGAACTTTCCAGACTTTCCATATTGTTTTAACTTCGCTCACACTTCATCTCAAAATAGGTTAACAAAGATGTGGACGTGGGTCAGCATGGGCCACTTAAATCATCTTTCTCTATCTCCTTCTACAGGCTAGTAGCAGAATGGAGACTTTCCCGAGGTGTTGAGGAGCAGACACAGGCTTTCTTTGAAGGCTTCAATGAAATTCTGCCACAACAGTATCTGCAATATTTTGATGCTAAGGAACTGGAGGTAAAGGATTATTCAGCTGTTGCTACATCCAGGTCATTACACATAAAATACTCAAACTGCAGTCATTAGGTCTGAAGAGCAGAACTTGCCAAGGGTGACAGCTCTGCTTTAAAGGACATATGAGGGAAACTGGATGGAGTGTATTGGATTAGTATCCCTTCACTTACCTTTTTGCAACCTACTTACGTATTTCTAAATACTAAGATTCTGCCAGTAGACATTTCTTACCGAGTTGCTTTTGTAATCCTCAGCAATTTGATTTGCCTGTGTTCAAAGAATGAGTAACTTGACAGGAAGGGAGATGAAAACCAGATACACAGTGGATGATCACATATAGCTCGGACCAGCTTCTAGATGATTTTAATCTCTCAAAATTGCACTTTCTGAAGGATCTGTTCAATTTAGAAAGATTAAAACCATAAAACATCCTGTTCCTAGCAGAGGACTGTATGGCTGGGCAGTGATAAACTGTTCCTGGCTTGAGTGTCTAAATGCAATTGTTCTACTTCTCATGACAGAGATGCTTTCTGTTTTGTGGCTTCTCCAAATACACATCATGAGCTTGCATCATTCTTTGTTGTAGAAGTTTCGGGTAAAGTTTAAAATTAAAACCAAGTATATTATCACTGTAGATGCTTCTAAGTATGGGTGCACTTGATGTTCAGTTTTTTCTACATGGGCAGTCACAGAAGGAAAGTCATAACTTGTATTTATTTCCCTTTTTCTCCCCTCAAGGTGCTTCTGTGTGGAATGCAAGAAATTGATTTGAATGACTGGCAGAGACACACCATCTACAGGCACTACACCAGGACCAGCAGGCAGATAGTGTGGTTCTGGCAGGTTTGTAGACTTTGCTTTGTTCTCGGACCTAGAGTAGTTACTGCGCACAGAATAGTTACTGAACACAGCTGTAGCATGTACACACTACAGACATGTAGTAACTAGTTGTTACTGTTAATCCAGCCATTTGTAGTAGTCATGTAAATTGGCTGTTGTGGATGGCGATGATATGAAAATCTGACTATCAAATCTATCCCTAAATGTTTATTTCAATTACTATTTTTCAGTTTGTGAAAGAAATAGATAATGAGAAGAGAATGAGACTCTTGCAGTTTGTTACTGGAACGTGCAGATTACCAGTGGGAGGATTTGCTGACCTCATGGGTATGCATAAAAAAAATAATCCCTCTAATGCATTAGATATGTTTTTTTAAAAGAACTGATTTGCAAATTTATGGACACTTTAATGATTTTTATATTAATGCTATTTTGTAAGCCCTGCATATATTTGAGCTATGATGGAAAAAGAGAGAGAGGGGATGTTTACACCTAGTGTATTAACATTTGAAATCACTTCAGATTCATGCATTTCACCACATGCATACTTCGAGCCAGACAGAGTTGTGAGTGAAGGACAGATGTCTTTTGTTGGTGTGAATAATGGCAATCTTGTGTTTAAGCCTTTAATACTTCAGTTGTAGTATCTTACCTACTGATGCAACAGTAGCTAGACCTTCTTTATCTGAATTTGTTACAGGGAGCAATGGACCCCAGAAATTTTGTATTGAAAAAGTTGGCAAAGAAAACTGGTTACCTAGAAGTCATACCTGGTGAGTATGTAACAAACCAAACTGTTGCTGCTGTCCTCGTTTTGCTGACAGCAGTCTACTTGGAGATTGTAGTAAATGGTAATATACTTCAATGGCTGAGACTGTGTGAGAGCAAACACCAAGTTATACCAATAAACCTTGTTGTTGAATAGTAGCTGAACTGCTGAAGAACTCCTGGCAGGAAGTAGATTCCATTGTAAACTCCATGGATTTATGTATTGCTGAAAATTGAAAGTAATAAACAATACTATGTAAAGAGGGGGGGATTGATCTTTAGTTATCACTACACTCCATCTTCATAGTGAAGTAGCCACATTTGTGTTCCTCCCGTGTATCGGGTAAGTAAACCCACACATGTCAAATGTGAATGATGACTGTAGTTCACCAAGGAGAGAAAGTTCATGAAAACCCTTACCTAGCACTGCATTTCTGACCATTCAGCTCTTGAACTCTAACTTCTGCTCTCAGAAGTACGTAACTTTATGTTGGAGTCTGCTTTTCCCAGGATATAAATCCAGGTATCCATGTACGCAGCAAAAAGTTTAATTACTCATATTCCTATTGGATTTTTTGTGACGGTTTAATTATTTTTCAGTATTTAAGCTTTGTTTTTATTTTCAGTTTCAATCGCTTAGATCTTCCACCCTATAAGAATTATGAGCAGTTGAAGGAAAAGCTGTTGTTTGCAATTGAAGAAACAGAAGGATTTGGGCAGGAATAGCTAAAATTTGCACCTTGAAGAATGTGAACTCAACACAATGTCTGGTCTTCACTTCTTCTGCTTGTTGCACACTTCATTGTAAAGTAGACTTGACTTGGATTTATTTAACAATACTAATGTGTAAGTAAATGGATGTTATCCTGAGGTTTTATCCACAGTAACTCTGGATTTCTACTGAGCACTTTCAGAAATCAAATGAGCAATCAGATATGGCTACAAATGAATTCTGACCTACGTAGAGGTTTAATACAGCTTTGGGCTCTGCTTTGTTTTACCATTCATTAATTAGAATGTGTCCTTAATGACTGACAGATTTTTAACAATAGTTTTGTCTTTCCTTTTTAGTAGCATTTTTTGCTACTGATGCACTGGGAAGTTCATTGGTAGCTGCAGTGCTGCAGCAGCATCCTAAGCCTCTTTAAGCAGTGTTGTAGAGCCAGCCTGTCTGTGAGCAAATCCATCACTTCAGCCCTTTTTTCTATCTCAAGTGTGGCCAGACTGTTTTTCCCTGCCTGGAGTCTGCTCACATGCCAGCTGGACTCAAGCTGCTGCTAAGGGGATGTCAAACTGTGGCACGAATCCAGGGCATAGCTTTGCTTTGGTTTTCTTTTTCCTAATTCTGCTAATTTCAGCAAAATAGCCACCTGCCCAAAGTTGTTGGAACCTTTCTGTGTGCCCTTGGAAGACTGATCTTTTTTGTGTGTAACACATTTAAGTTTTAAATCAATATTAACACTGTGGTACTTCACTTGTTTTGCAAAAGACAAGACCACCTGGGATTGCACTGATTCCATGTAGATTCCTGTTTTCAGACTGATGTTTCTTGTCAACAGTGTTAATGGACGTTATTGTCAGTGTTATTCTTACATGTTGCAGTCAGTTGCTCTGAAGGCTCTTGGGTTCTCAGGATGAGATACCAAACAACTGGATTCAGAAAATGATAGTACTTAGCATTTTTGGTGATGAACTGATACTGAACTGATGGCTAAGGCTAAGAGGATGAGAAAGTTCAGACAGGAATTACAGATCTTTGAAAAGCTGGAGCATCAGTAAATAGTTCCATAAAGACTGAAACTCAAGTTTTTGGGGGAGGTTTCTAACCTAATTCACTGCTTGTAGCTGTTAACTTTTGTAGTGAGTTCCTATTGGATTAATAACATCTTTTACTTCCTTTTAGAATCTGTTAATACTGAGTTCTCTTCTGGTTTACAATAACATTTTGCATTTTACTGCTCCTTTAGACTTAATGCACTTTTTGGGTATGGTCAGCTCCTTCTCTGTGTGAAGGGAGGAAAGCAAACTTCAGTGAGCTGAGCTGGTAGCCATGGCAGGAGTTGTGACACTTGAAACACCATGTAGCACATATTAAAGCATAATGTGGCTCAAAGCATTGGGCCAGGAGCTGGTTTTAAGAGGCTTTTGGATATGGGAACCAAAACAGGACAGAGGGAAACCGTAAAACTGAACTTCCAGTCTCGAAAAGAGCAATTCTTTCCTCTTGTCCCTTCTGTCTGAACTATAAGAGGGAAGAACTGATTCAGGCCTAAGAACCACCCAGGCACTGCAGGTTTTAACTGGGTTTTTTGGGTCATACAAAGAGATGTTTACTGGAAGGAAGGATTCTCAGCCTGTAGAGTGAACAGCTCTTGCGTCATGCATATTCCAGGAAAGGCATGGAAAAGGGTTTCTGATAACACAGAAATGACCCTCTCTTAGAGTTCCATTGCTGGTAGAACCAACCTGACTTCATGGGTTTACTAGGAGAAAAATCTGCCAACTTCAGAAAGGTTTGATGGATTTCTTACAGTACACAGCTCACGAGGAGAAAAAAAGCCTTATAAATATATTCTGTTTGTATGAATTCTTACAATGAAAGGTAGTTATCTAACATATTTCCAAGAGAGGTTAAATTAAGCAAGATAATGCAAGATTAAGCTATGACAAATAGTCTGTGTTCTGCATAATGCTTTATGATTCATGTAGGGAACCTAGAACTATTGTTAATGTATAAATATCACCCAAAAGGCTTTCAGCCCTATATTTTTAAACTAAAGAATAGTTATAATTGAAATAGCCTTAGCCCTAGTTCTATAGGGTGTGGCTGTTTGAATATTTTTATGGTTGAAATGTTTAGTTCAGGACAAGGTAAATGCTTGTATATATTTTTGCAGTCCGGGATTCCACTTATTCCATTTTTCTTTAATTTAAATGGCATGTTTATATGTCTTTTCTGCTGTATTAGGATGGGGGAAAAGGGGCTGGATATCCCAAGATTTTAAAAGATAAATAAAAAATAAAGAATCCACTGGGGGGAGGAGGAGGGGGAAAATAATCTGTGAAACATGGGGTTGGCCAAAATAGACAGAAATGAAAGCAAATTTCTTGCATTGAACTGGGGGCATTTCTGAAGTCAGAGGTTAAGATTCCTCGGCCATTTTGCTCCGTCAGCATTGGGAATGTGAACAAATCTGTTCAGTTTTTACAGCATGTTGTGTAGAAATAAAAAGGACTTAATATGAGCCGCTGGTGCAGTTCTGTTCTTTATGGGCATCTGGTGAAAGAAGATGGAGCTGAGCCCAGAGCATCCTGAAGCCCTCAGGTTGTGAGGAACTGCGCTTCCAAGTAAGATGAATGAATTTGTCTCCCACCATCCAGCTGATCCAGCAACCCAAGCTTCATAAATTCACAGTATGTCACAATGCAGGTTCTGCCAATGCAGGCAATTGCCAATTGATCCCAATTTCTTGAGTATTAAAATAACTTTTATTTAGAGTTTTCCCTTGGGAGAATGACGAGCAAATGAAACACTGAGCTGCTGATGGAAGAGGTAACACAGCCTTGTAGCTCTGGGCAGCTCAGGAAATGTTAGTATACTAATGAAATGCACAAGAAATGCATCATGTCTTCATCTGATCTAGAATGGAAATTGTTTTAGTCAAGTTGGTGACATTTAAAAAGAAGGGGGTTTATTATGCTGAGGAAATTAAAACAAATGCTTAAGTTTTTATGATTTTATTTTCTGCATTTTTATTACATGCTGCACTGGATTTGAAATCTCAGCTCTGCTATATTGGTATCTCCAGCCCCCTTTTTATGGTGTCTTTTAATTTTCTTCAAGAATCACTGTTTGTGTATATGTGCTCTAGTGAACTCATCTATAAACTGGGATCAGCAGCACTGGATTGTAAAATACTGTACTGAAATTCCTTGTTGAAGTTTCCTTGCATTGTAATTTCAAATACTCAGGTAACTGTAACAGTATCTCAGTAAGTCAAATACTTTTATAAAACTACTTAAAGAGCTGGAGGTCTCACTGTTGTTTGTTATATGTTATGAAGCATCCATGAGCCAAAGAATTGTCTGTGAGCTTTTTGGGGGGTGACATGTGAGGCTGTCTCAATCAGAACCATGGAATACCACACTGGAAAAGACCTAGGGTTCATCTGGTCCGATGTTTATAGGCAAAGCACAAGCTAGACAGGATGTTCCAATGCCCTGCCCAGCCCAAACTTAAGAGTGTCCAGTGCTGGGGAATCCACCACTTCACTGGTGAGATGATTCCAAGGGCGTGTTGTTATTAACTAAATGAGAGTGCAGTCGGAATCTCCTCAGGAGTACCTTGTGCCTATCACCCTTTCTCTTTGATATATCACACCTTGTGAAAAGGGAGTATCCATTATCCTTGCCTTGTCCCAAACCCCCCTGCACACTGGCATCCCAAGGCACGGAAGGGCTAAATTCCACCCTCATGGATGCATCCCAGCTGCAGCAGATAAGCACTGCTCAGCTCGTTCTTGGGCTGATCATGGGACAGTAAAAGAGCAATGGAGATGGTTGTGGCACTCTGGAGATGACCAATGCAACGTTCACACATCTTATGGTCTCTTCAAG